ACAAGGTCCTTCCTTAGTCAGGGCAATCTTCAGTACACTTAGCAGTAGCCAGCCTAGCCTGGGTGATCTGCTGGAAGAGTGAGAGATAGATGCCAGAGCCTCTTTCTATATTCGCCAAGTGATGGAGGGAGAGAGAGATGAAGCTGTCTCTCTCTCTCTCTCTCTCTCTCTCTCTCTCCATCCCTCCCCCTCTCTCTCCCTCCCTCCCCCACCCTGCCACTTGGACTCAGAAAATTAATTCCACTGTCTAGATTTACATGTGAATTTGGGGAGAAGAAAAGAAGACTTTGGAGCTGAAAGAGAAAGTAGGTGAAGCACTCTCTAGACAAACACTGCCCATGCAAACATCAGAAGTCTGTAACAGTAAAGACAGTGCTCAGGGGCCATTTTAGAGAGAGAGCAAGAGTGACATAGACATGGCTACTTTGGCTCAGGGGGAAAAATAAATAACCAAAATAATAAGAGGTAGTGTTAAAGCTTCGAAAGGAATTTTTTCATTTGAGAGAGATTATGAATAATGAAATGCAAACACTGTAGTTAATATGTCTGTTAGCTGCTTCATGTTGGCTTCTGGGAGGCAGTAATAGGCTGGGTGAGAGGGCAGCTTTCAAGTTATTCTGTTTCACTGTCCTTGGGGTGAAGCTCAAGTCTGTACCCCAGATTTCTTGATCAAACAAACACTGGAGATTCAAGGCTGCACGGAAAGCCTCTATTTATTCCAAAGCCACAAACTTCCTGAGCCTCCTTGGAGCCCTTTCACAAATGAACCTGACAACATTGAAATTTCTAAGGAGATTTACTCCAGCTGCAGCAAATCCCTAATAATAAAAATTTCCCCAAATGAGTCTGTCACACGGGAGGTAAATGAGACATTCTGTATGAAGTCAGCGTGTCACTTGGAGTGTGCCCTTTATAGCAAAAGCCCAGCCAGAAGGCCACATGGTTAAGTGGGACTTGTCCACAGGGTGCAGCCACGACCCTGGAAGGAGAAGGAACTTGCCTGCCAACTTGTAACTCGTGGTCCTGTCTCCCTCATACATACTTGATAGAAAAATTCAGTTTCCCTAAGAAGTTCAAGAAAGGGCTGGTTATTTGCTTCACAAAGGAATTCATGGGGGGCTGGGGTCCCATTAACTAACAAGCACACAGAGAGAGAATTTGTTACTCACTGGTTTAGAGGAACCTTTGTTCAAAATGTATGGCCTTCACTGTATGTGTGTGTGTGTGTGTGTGTGTGTGTGTGGTGGGGGTTGGGGGTGTGTAAAAAAAGTACACAGGGGTTTGTTCCTGGCCATTTAAAAAAAAAAAAAAAAAAAAAAAAGGCGATCTAGTCATTGAGTCAATTGAGGTAAGCTCTGAGCAGGGGCATTCGTTGGTAGTCCCACCTCCTGGCTGATTCTGTCAATCCTCTAAATGACTCCAAGGGTGATTAGGCAACCTAACAAAACCTGCCCACTTCTGAAGACCAGCCAGTAGGGTGGCAGGGCTTTTCTGTCCTTTGCAGAAAAATCCTTTGTTTTGTTTTGTTTTGTTTGTTTTTTCTTGTTTTGTTTTGTTTTTTGACATTCCGAGTCTCCTGTGGTCCTCATTCTGCACACTCCATCTCTGTGAGATGGGTGATAAAGTGATACTGGAAAATAATCCACACTTGAATCTGCTAATTTTGTTTTTCACTTGTTTGGGTTTTTGAGACAGACTATTATGTAGCCCATGTTGGCCTTCAACTCTGACCCTCCTGCTTCAGGCCCCAAGTGCTGGGATTTTTGGCATGATCCACTATGTCTATCCCTGCTAACTCTTAAGGACTTGTTTGTCTCAACATCTCCACTTTGAAAACTTAAGGAATGCAGCTTTATTTTATGAGTTTTGTCTTACTAGAGAAATGTGAACTGTAATAATTCAGATAACAGAGGCAAACAGTGACGATGTACCCCTGTTGATGATGTATCTCTGCTAGCATTTTAGATGAAGTTTTTCAAATGTTTTCTGAATGCTTATGTGAGGAAATAATGTGCACATTTTAAAACGGACTTTAAAAATCTGTTCTTTTTGCATTAATAGTATATCATGTTCTTTTTTTTTCTATAAAGCCAAAAAAGCTCAGACCTGCCACACTGTTTTCTGTAGCAACTGAATATTTCATTTTATAAATATACCAGAATTGATTTACTCTCCCTCTCTGGTTGGATTTTTCAACACGATGCTATTTATAAAGGGAGCATCTCCTCACTTTTCATATGCTTTTTAAAAAACATTCACAATGATGCATAGACATCCATACACCACCCTCTGATTGTTTTCTTGGTGGAAAAAAAGTCCTAAGGAGTCTGGTTTACAGGCTATATGCATAGTAACCTGCATCGCATTTTGCCAAAAAGTACCTTGCAAATGTTTGAAGCGATTTACATCTCTGCATTCACTACCACTATCCCCAAGGCCTCTTCCTCTTCAGACAAGCATCATCTATGGGAATGCCTCAGCCTCTTTGCCTCTGAAATGGTTGTGAGAATTTGACACATCAGTTAGTTTTCTTAAGCGCAACAATGCAGTAATCCTTTATGCAGATTAGGGTCAGTCCTACAAAACTCACAACTGAAGGAGAAGGCTCCCAATATCTCTGCTTTACTGTCATAGCCATCATTTTAAAGTATTTGTCTGTAGGGGGTGTGTGTGTATAGTGGGAGGGTGTGGATGTGTGGGGGTGCCCATGTAGCTATATACATATAAGTGCAGGCACCTGCTGAGGGGTGTGTGTGTGTGTGTGTGTGTGTGTGTGTGTGTGTGTGTTGGTGCCAGTGCCCATAGTTGGAGTGTGAAGTCAGAGGATAATATTAGGTGTCAATCAATCCTTGCCTCTTCCCCCTTGTTTGAGACAGGGTCTACCTGGTCTGCAAACTTTCACCTCCTGTCTCTGGCTCCTACCTCACCATAGGGGCAATGGGATTTCAGGTGAGGTATACTCCACTGTATCCAGACTCACCCAGTTTACCAGGCTCATAGTTGGGTCCTCATTCTTGCAAGCACTTTCCCTCAAAGCCATCTCCTCAGCCCTTGTTCCTCAGAAAGATTCAGAGTTTAATTTTCTCAGTTCTTTTGATTTTAAAAAGAAGTTCTCAGTGGATTTAGCTTTATTTTACAAATTGTTGGCTTATTAAAGAACTGTAATTTTGGCCTCCAGCTAAGAAGTAGAATCTAATCCCAGCTGTCTTTGCCCAGGTCTGGGATCGAGCATCCAAGGAGAGAATTCTTATGAGTGAGTAGGGGCTGCTTGATGTGTATACACAATGCTGGGTGCATCACTGCTCAGCTGACTAGTCTGCTAGGCAGTGCTTAACTCACAGTGAACAGCAAGGAGGGGTTTTCCAGGAGGGACTGGGAATTTCCCCTAAGAACAAACAAGTGTCTTTTCCCTTTTGTTTTTGAGTTGAGGAAGCTTACTTTCAAAGTCAGTACTATCTCCCACACTGAAAAATCCCAGATTTGAGCTGATCCTCTACCCCACCCCACCCCACCCTGGGGCCTTTGAAATCTGGCTATCTCACCAGAGCTCTGGTGGAAGCCTCTATCTCACCATCTCACCATCTCACCTTGCTGGAGGGATCCAGCCCCAGCCATTCTCTTGGTTGCAAGGCTCTATCCCTCCCCGGGGGCCTAGGGATGAACTGTTCCTGGTAACATGCTCCTTAGTCTTCCTTTACAAGCCTATTTATTCAGAAATGGCTGAGCAATCTGAAATATGGCTCCCGGAGGCTGAAGTAAGCCCCAGGCCTCTCTAATTTACTCTAACCACTTGTGCAGGCAGCCAGCTCCCACAGACCTGTGTGAGAAGAGCTGGAGGCCACATCCCAGGGAGGGCTACATTGTCAATCCCTTTCCTTACCCACAAGGAAGAAATGTCTTATGTGTTGTTTTTACAGGTTGATGCAAAATAAATAGAGGGGGGAGAGAGAGGGAGATGGTTTTTGAAGAACACTGTTGGGGAAGAAATTTCCCACTTGAGCTGTGTGATTTAAGTAGTAACTGGCAACAGAGGGGGTGCAGACGAGAACGGGGATCACTGTTGAGCGTGCACCCCAGCTGAAAAAAATGTGCCTGTGGAAATAAGGGAGGACTTTTTGTGTGTCTCAGTCTATGAACCTGGCCAAGGGAGTCTGTGAGACATCAGTGCCCCTTGGCAGGCCCATCTGACTCAATCTGAAAGGAGCACAGGCCACAGCTTGGGTGAGGCCAGCCAGCCATGCCTCGTAAAGGGCTCCAATTGTGGGTACACAGACACAGTGCCCAGGGAGTCACCAGGCTTTGGGGGAAGTTTTATTGCCTTATCTGACTTAACAACAATCCTTTTTGAAAACAAGTTGACTAGACAGTGCTGATGGGAACTTTGTAGGTGCATCTCAAGGAAGGAGGTAGCCTGCAGATGGGGAAACTACCAATTAAGAACATGAGGGGATGGCCCAGGAGAAAACTAAAACAGGGTAGGGGATGGGAGAACAAACACCTCTGAAACCTCCCCAGGGTACCAGTTCCTGACATGTAAGTTTTCATCCCATCTTGTCAGCCCACTGGAGCAGCTATTTTTCTCCTCCTGTTACGTTTGAAGATACTCACGCTCAACACATTTTAGTAACCTGCAGTGGCAGAGTTAAGGAGAGACAAAGATTAGAGAGGTCACAATGGAAATGAAAAGTATATGCTACCGCCACCCAAGGAAAAACACAATGCTTGCTTTGAGATCCTGATAGAATGATGCAATTGCTCTCATGTGAACAAGAGATAAGGCCTCCCACCCATGCACTCATTCACTGTAGCTTGAACAAAGCAACTTCCTGTGTCTGTGTTTGCCTATGTACCAAAGCAAGTACAGCGCCCTTTGTTGATCGCTCCGCAACACCTGAATGTCTATAAAAGAATGGGGAGAGCCAAGAGAGGATAATGGTCCTTCCCAGATCTTCAGAATGGTCTTTTTTTCATCTGTGTCCTTTTCTGCTGTCCCCACCTAGGTATGACTTCATTGAGATTCGGGATGGGGACAGTGAGTCAGCTGACCTCCTGGGCAAACACTGTGGGAACATCGCTCCACCCACCATCATCTCCTCTGGCTCCATGTTATACATCAAGTTCACATCAGACTATGCCCGGCAGGGGGCAGGTTTCTCCCTACGCTACGAGATCTTCAAAACAGGTTAGTGAGACCAGAGATGGGCATCATAGGGAAGGTGGAGCAGAGCGGGGAGCCCTGGTCGGTGGATGGCATCAGTGCTGAGAGGTTCAGTATCTGGCCTGATTGGTGGCAGAGAAGAGATGACTAAGGTGAACCTGGTAATGGCTCGATATGAAAAGGCAGGTCAGGCGACTTCCAACTTGACGGGAAAGATGAGGACGCAGCATGGGGGTGGGGCAGTGAGAGTGAGGAGGGGTAGGGGATAAATACAAGAACATCTCTTAAAAGAATTGGATTTTTGTAATTTTAAAATCAAGCTGTTCTCCATGGTTGAACTTGGTTGAACTTTATTCCAACTCCTTCATGGTTTAATATTATCTTTATTTGGAATTACATGGGGCTGGAGGACATAATCTTTTCATTGTTTAGGATTTCTAAAGATCTCACCACGACCCCCAGAATGGGGTCAGTCATTGCTTTTAAATTAAATTATGACTCCTAGACATTCCCCTTGGCCATCCATTTTACCACCCCTATACACTGAACTCCTATTTCCCATATGCCAGGGAATCAGATGGCCTGAAAAGCTAAGGAAAGATAGTGGAAATTGGGCAAACAACACAACACTTCTTCTAGTTGACTGCTGGACCCCGTACATCTCCTTAGGCCTTTATGGGCAGTACTAACTTCTGGGGCTCGGTAGGACAGAGTTCATCTGAAGGTGCTGCATTAGATCCACCCGTCCTCTCCCAGTGGCATGTCCTCCCATCTCTTGTCAGCTCTCTCTATGGCCGAGGAAGGAATGTCCTCCATTCTCACCCACTCCTTACCTCGGAAGCTCTGCCCCCATCTTTGAGTGTTTTCTTTCTTTAGGAGTCCAGGCTTTATAACTCCTACATGGAGTCTGATTCCAGGTGAAGCTGTCACCCTGTCATTGAGAAACCCAAGCCTGAAGTCTGTTAAGTTCAGTGCAAGGGGAACTATTCATATGTATTTTTTTTCTCTTTTTTTCATTAAACAGTTCTTGGAAGGAAGTGGTGAATGTTGAAAGCACTTTTTATATCCACTCTGTCTAAATATTTGTTGGACTTGTCTGCTTTCGAAGGTCAAATCAAATGAAGGGGTGTGGCTAGCAGAACTGTGTTGTGCCCGAGTGGGAACCCTAAGCTATGGCTTATGATGGACCGTCTGCCAAGCATTTTCATGCTTCTGGTCACAATAAGGTCTCAGGAACTGTTCTGTGTGTCCTGGGCTGGGTGCTGGTGTGAGCCCCCTACATAGCTGGATCCATAGCTCCTTGAGTAGGACTGTAAGATGCAAACCAATGCTCCAACTCCAACGAGCATTCTCTACTGAGTGTTAGAGGAAGAAGAAATAAAGCAGGGTTTCTTGCTCTTGGCTTGTGGGAGAGGCAGGTAGACAAATCCTCATCACACAGATGCACCCTCAACATTATTGGTGATATTAAAAGGAAAATTGTACTATGATTGTCATGTGAAGACGCAGGTCACTTGTTAACTATCCTGGAAATGCAGTTGAGGAACTCCATAACCTAACAGAAAGCAGTCTTTAGTGCTGAACCCATCACTCAGCTCTACTGCCTCAACCTCAGAAGGAAATCAGCTCATGCAAGACCTTCCAGGGAGCTGGCCAAGGGAAGTCAGAGTGAGCAAGGTGGTTGAGCTTATCTCTGGTGTCATAGCTCTTATCTCAGTGTTTCCCCACTCATGATGCCACACTCTCCAGAAGGCCACAGAAATGGGGAATGTTCACTCCATCCATCACGAAAACTTGAAAGGCGGGCATTAAAAGATAAAACACACGAGGGTATCACAGTTCAGCCTGCTGTTCTGATGACATGCAAGAAGGAGAATTTTAAATAAGGTGGCAAGACTGTGAAGAGCCTTGAACAATAGTGTCAGTCAAGAAAGGTAGGTGGCTTAAAATTGGAACAGTGGGGCAGCCCACTTTAAGGGCTGGCATCAGCACTGGAAGAGATGTTGTAGTGACAGCTCTGCCAAAAGCCACATGGTGAGAGTATACAAGAGAGTCTAGAAGCCTCCTCAGGACCATTAGGCCCATCAGGAAGAGTAGCTGTCAGTATGGAAGTCAGTCCTATAAATATAAAACCCCAGGATGCACAAGGGAACAAAAGTCAAAAGTGAGAAGTTTAGGAAGGTATGCATTCTTCCAGATAGGTGTCTTGTCTTATGTCCCTATTTCCACAGTTGCAGTCCTGGGAGAAAATACACAGTTTACATCATCCACAGAACATGAAAGAAATGGGTGGACATGCTGAAGAAATCCAAACAAACATAGCTATGTTTGCCAGTCAGATTCATAAAAAGAAAGAGAGGGAAACTGTAAACACAGATATGCAGACAGCCATACAGAAGACTCTGGAAGCTTGGCTCTCTCCAGGCTCTGCCACAGAGTTACACAGAGACACATATGCCCACAAAGCTGGGACAAGCAAAGCATATGGCCTGAGTAGAAGGTCATGGCTGCCATAATTGAAGGATAAAATATTGTTTTTCATCACCAGACTGTCTCACCTGGAAAAGAGTAAGCCAGAAAAAAAGTCACAAACCTAAAGAATCCGAAGTCACCCAATCCAGAACAGAATAGGGAAAGAAAAAATTTTTAAAAGAACTTGAAAGGGGACGTGGGAAGCAGAATCAGTAGGAAATGCTTGTTGTTGTTCCTTTTTTTTTTTTTTTTCTGGTGTTCTTTTAGCAGAACTTCAAGATCCAAATTCCTCTCCTGTGTTCATTACTCAGTGACATTCTGATAGTAAAACTGGAGAGCACTAGAAGAAACCTACAATGCCCACTATCCCAAACCCCTAACAAAGGCCTGAATTCCCTACCTCTGGTGAAGTCAAACTTGACTTCAGAAAAGGCCACTGTACTTTCATATCTTTGTATGTGTAGGTTCCTCTTCAACTTGCAGGTTATGGTCCAGACAGTACAGAGATGTAGAGCTGGCATCCTGTATGACTCAATCTGAGCAGAGACCTGGGGTGGGCACCCTGCATGTCCAAGTCGTTTGCGATGGACTCGTTCACTACAGTCCAACCCCCAACTTTAGTTTTGTGTTGTTTTGCTGTTTCATGAGAGAGTCTCACTCTGTAGTCCAAGCTGACTTAGAATTCAATATGTAGCTCAGGCTTGCCTAGAACTCATGGTAGTCCTCCTGCCTCAGTCTCCTAGGACTACAGTGCTTGGATGGCAGGTATGAACCACCACACTCTCCCAAACCTCCAGCTTGTTTGAGTAACTTGATCATTGAATTGACACGAATATTTGTCAGATGGGTACTTAAATTTTGTTTTAACCTTTTAACATGATGCAGAAAAGGATTACAGATTAGTCAGATTTCCGGAAGACTCAAATTTTGGGTCCATTTTCAGGGTCCCTTTATTTCCTTGCCACTCTGCTGCTTTGACCATGGTAGTACTAGAGACAAATATATAATTTTAATAGATGCCCGATTTTTCTGCTGCTTTCAAAGGATAAAACAATAGTGTTTTCCGCACCTCCTTCTAAACAAGCCAGAGAATGTATCTATTTCTAACCATTTGTCAGACATGCACTGTTCTTTTTGGTTGTTTGTTTGACCTTAAGGACTTAAAGCTGAAGAATTCCATCCAGTTACATGTAAGACCTGGGGATCCTGAAACTGAATGGTTACTAACCTCACATTATCTGGGGCCCATATTGGGCTCTAAATGTCCATTGTTGATACACTTGTCCCCCATGGATGAGAAGGATCAAAGATCCTACCATAAATTCCCCACTCCCAGGGTGGTGCAGAGTCCCTTCTAAAGGAGTGACAATAGAGCCAACTCTAGGAAGGGACTCTCAAGAGGCCTCTGCTAACTCTCAAGTCACTTGTGAATAGAGAGCTAATTTCCATCCAGCACTGTGTGAGGCTCCCAAAGTGCCCCATGAAGAAGCCTGCTTAACATCCTTAAACTCTAACCTTTTCAAAATTCTTCTTGGCCCCCTGAAGACCAGCCAGCTGGCCTGGCTTTCCCAAATTGCATCACCCCAGGCCACTGAGGAAGCCCTCAGGAGTTGGAGGCCTGATGGTAAACAAAGCTGAGAAGGGGAGGGGTGGCCAACCCAGCTCATCCCATCCAACCCTGTTGCCCACTGGCAATTGGTGAACTAAAAACAAAGCCTCTTGAGATGTGGCACCCAGAGCTCCAAATAAGCCAGGAAGGTTTGCTCTTGCTCTTGGTCCTTATTCTACCCACAATCCACCCCCAAGGCACAGTACTACAAGCGGAGAGAAGGTACCTGATGGATAGGTGGAGTCTGAGAATTTCCTTTGCTGCCTTGAGCTACAGAAAGTTGCAAACCTAACCCAAATACACACATACTTATTTGCATGCTACTTTTTCCAAGTGAGATATTTGTAGCTTTCCAGAAAGTCACTATCAATAAGGAGACTTGCAGAGGGCCCTGCTACAGGAGCTGCAGATAAAGACATTGCTGTGGGCTAAGATTGGCATATTGACATCCCATAGTTATATTTCAGTGTGATCCCCAGAGGACACTTCCTGCCAGTAAACACCTGGTTTATTGAGTATTTCTGTGTTGTTGTTTTTTTCTTCATGTTTAGATTGTCTGTTATCCCCTTCATAAATCCTGCTTCCTTTCCTTATTTTAAAATCCAACTGCAGTGAGTGAAATCTATTGTAATTACCTGCATTTGCATCTCTGTCATTAACTTGTATCCATTCTTGCTCTCTTTGTATGAGCCAGTCTCTATGCTTCCAGGCACCTTTCCTGGCTCTGCCTGGGTTAAAGCACAAGGGCTCTTCTAACAGGACTCCACCTAGAGGCATCGGGAGAGGTGGGGGCTGTAATCCTTTTAGTGCTCTTGCAGCAGGCTCTGAATGTGTGTCACGTTCCAACAGGACACATCCCCAGAAAGCTAACCCAAGAGCTTAGGAGAGAAACACAAGGCCATCCCCACCACAAAGGCACCAGAAGCCTTCCAAATGTCAATACACTGCTGCATTTTTCCAAACTCGCAGCTCAAGCGGCCTTTAACATCCCCAACGCCCCACTGTGATCCACCCGCTAAAAACCTCGATTGTTAATTGTCCCACCACTACAGAGCAGCCCGTTTTAATACAGTCAGGACTTGAATGAGGCTTGGGCTCCCCTTTGCCCCTCCCCTGAGGCACCTTGGATCTTGGAGGGAGAAGGGGCACTTAGCTGGCTGGGGTACAATAGAGGCTAGTGTTGAGGTCAGCAATAAATAAGGGAAAACATTGTTTTCCCTGCTGGCAACCAGCAAGCCTTCCTTAAGGATTGAAATAACTTACATTTCTGGAGTGAGCAGCTGAGTAATTGAGAAAGAAGACTGTTCTTCTTTTAAGATATTTCTCTCTCTCTCTCTCTCTCTCTCTCTCTCTCTCTCTCTCTCTCTCTCCTGTCTACCTCTTACCCTCCAATCCCTCAATTGCTGGTCTTATTCTGTTATACAAGGCAATAGTCAGCCTCACCTCCCTGATTTCTGCCCAAAAGGGAGGCTGGCTTGAGGACTTGAAACATAGATGGGAACTGTGTGTTGCTCCAAGGACCACTTGAGCAGAAACAAAAACCCTGTGAGTAGGGGGATATGACCCAAATATTTAAATAACCCAGAGGCAGAGGAAGCAGTAGAGAAAAGCTGGTCCCTGATGCCATGTCTCTTTCCCTCCCCTCCCATCCCCTTCTGGTACCCAGGCTCTGAAGATTGTTCCAAGAACTTCACAAGCCCCAATGGGACCATTGAGTCTCCCGGGTTTCCAGAGAAGTATCCACACAATCTGGACTGCACCTTCACCATCCTGGCCAAACCCAGGATGGAGATCATCCTGCAGTTCCTGACCTTTGACCTGGAACATGACCCTTTACAAGTGGGAGAAGGAGACTGCAAATATGACTGGCTGGACATCTGGGATGGCATTCCACATGGTGAGTGAATGCTTCTGCTCAGCTCACTCTCTCCTTTTTATAAAGTTCAGGATCCTAGCCCAGGGAATGGTCGCACCCAAAGTGGACAGATCTTCCCACTTCAATAACCTAACCATGGGAGTCCCCCACAGATATACCTGGAGGGCTGTCTCTAAGGTGAGTCCAGATTTTATCAAGTTCAATTGAGATTAGCCATCAGAGATGGCAAACTCCAGGTGATGTTCTTTTCCACACCAAGTGAATCAATAGTCAAACACTGTGACCGCGTAGAAGGACTTAAAGCCAGACTGACTAGATTTCAATCTCCGATGTACAACCTCTCAGTATCTTGGCTTTGAAATGATCTATCATCACTATTAACATGAGTGCCATTATTTCATCACTATTAATGGATATTGAAAAGCATCATTCACAGCCAAGAGGAGCCTGTATAGATTGGGTGAAGACCACACAGATCTTAGGTGTAACCAGTTTTGGAAAGGAAACAAACTGTTCCTCTTTGTGGTTGTCTGACTGTTTCCTAATATAAAGGATACTTGGTATCTATGCAGGAGCAATTTCATCTTGGGAAAAGCATAAGATTTAGGCAAGCATTTAGGGTTTGGGTCCCAGCTCTGCTATTTCCTAACAATGTGAACTGGGAAATGTCACCTGACTTTCTGAAACTCAATTTCTTCCTCTCTAGAGCAGGAACTGTAATGACACCTTCTGGCCCATCTCTCAGGGGTGGAAGAACAGAATGTAGCCGGCTCAGGGAGAGCACTTTTTAATGTTCAGGGAATATATCAGACATTATTGAAGCACCCCTTCAGTTTTTATGTCAATGTATCAGCAGTGAGGCTCACGATGCTGGGAAGGGAGAAAGTATTGAAAACAGTTTTAGATTTCCACTTCCTCTGACCGCTCTTTGTCTCCTGTGTCTAGTTGGTCCTCTGATTGGCAAGTACTGTGGGACCAAAACACCCTCCAAACTCCGCTCATCCACGGGGATCCTCTCCCTGACCTTTCACACGGATATGGCAGTGGCCAAGGATGGCTTCTCTGCACGTTACTACTTGGTCCACCAAGAGCCGCCTGAGAGTAAGTGGGCCATTTGGGAATCCCTGTGCTGTCTTCTCATTAGGGACAAGAGTGGGTACAGGTGAAGGGCTGACCTCTTTGAAAACAGCAAACAGCAATGCTGCAGATTTCATGGTGACATCTGAGTTCAGGGAAATAGAGCCATGCCCTTTTTCCCCAGCAAATACGAGTGAGAAAAAGACAATGTCCATCTGGGAACTCATTTCCATATTAAAAAGAAACAAGCAAGCAAATAAACAAGTATGTGTTGTTCCCAGAGAAAGCTGTGGACCATCTCAAGCCTCCATCCTCTCATCTATGAGTTGTTAGGATGATGCATAGGGGGGTCTAACCCCTTTCAGACCTGCATCAGTTCTTGCATTGTCTCGTATTGTCATAAAACAGCCATCAGTTTCTTGACATTAAAGTTCTGTAGACCCCAGTAAAGTTTCCTTGGCTAGACAATGCAATCTCTTGGACTTCCACTTAACACATGCAAGAAATACAGGCTTGAGCCACTTCTACTGAGTGTCAGGCATGGTGCATAGCATTGTAAAGCGCTGCCACAGGCCCAGCTGTTGTGGAACCTGCCACCCAAGCCAGTGGTCTCCCATCCAGAGGCCCATTCTCAAGCCATCTGGCCCTGCCCCTGTGCTTCAGATGTACTGTCATGGCTGCTTAGAGAACCAAATGATATCCTGGAGGAAAAAAGAATCACTCCGAGATGGTGAGGGCTGAGGAACTCCTGCCACTGTTATGGACAGCTTCCCACCTGCGTGACTACAGACGCAGCAGCCTAGCCTGCCAGAGAAATGAATGGGCTCTGCCAGTCTCTGTTCATTTTTTTCATCAGAGTTCCAGGAAACTGATGAGAGACAATGTAGCAAGGTGTAGCTGGTTCAACAAATGGCCAGTGCAATCACAGAGCTGAAGAACAGACTTGCTACCTCAGAAAGGTGGTCAGTTTTCACTCAACACACACCTGTGCAAGCACTGGCCAGTGGCAGCAGCATCCAGGTGAAGGATAGCAATTTTGCTGATAGCATAAAACCAGAATCAGACTCCTAGATCTCTTAGCCCGGACAGGTGCTGTGGGGGAACACAACGGGGAATGTATGTGCTCACAGAGAGGTTTCCTAAAGATGGGTGTTTATACTTTATAGTGTCTGTCTTCTCTGCCAGAAATAAGGAAACACTTGGTTAAAGAGAGAGACGTGCAAAAGTGCCTCCTGGGTGTGTGCAGGCTTCCCACGATGTCTGAGCCCACCCAAATTGTCATGTTCACCTGTATGGCATGGCTAGTACATCTGGCACCCGAGAGCATCCATAGCCCGCAGCACTTGTGTTTGAGATGGTATTTTTAATTTATATGATGATTCTTATTTATCTATCCTCTAACTTCTTTTAGGTCCAATTTAGTTCCTTGAAGACCCAGAGGGGTTGTTAACTATGTGACTTAGTAAAGTTGTTTTTCAAATGTGAGCATATAATTAGATTCAGGATGAGGGAGTGCCTGCAAGGACTTGTCCCTAGAAGGAGACAGTGTCTGGGGGGCCCCAGCAGTTTTGACGTTAAGATGCTAACTCTGCCTTTGACCAATCTCTGCTCCCCAGACTTTCAGTGCAATGTCCCTCTGGGAATGGAGTCCGGCCGGATTGCTAATGAACAGATCAGTGCCTCATCCACCTTCTCTGATGGGAGATGGACTCCTCAACAGAGCCGGCTCCATGGTGATGACAATGGCTGGACACCCAACTTGGATTCCAACAAGGAGTATCTCCAGGTGCTTACTCATATACTGGTGTGTGTGTGTGTGTGTGTGTGTGTGTGTGTGTGTGTGATGGGGGTGAGAGGGAGAAAGTGTGACGTGTGTGCTGATTGGACAGTGTTGGCTCAGCTAGAGCCAAAAGAGAACACAAAACAATAAAGACAGAATGTATGAGAATTGCATCCATCCATCTACTCATACATCTATCCATAAAGGCCCTGTGCTATGCCAAGCATTGTGCTGTGTGCTGGAAAAAAAAAAATGATGAGTAAGAGGACCACTTGCCCTTGCCCTTATTCGGATTCGTGGGCCTGAGGAGAGTTGTTTGGCCATGATACTGTTTGCCCTATCAGTATCAAAGGAATGTTCTATAAATAGTTCCAGATCTTCCTCATTCTTGGCACAGGGAGGCATCAGAGATGTGGGGAGAGCATTTTCCTGAAGGCAGGTTTGTTGGGCGCTAGCTGAATATGGCATCTTCTTCTGATCTTTGCTATCTGGAGGGAGCCTGCCAGGAAGGTTTTACACATAGCTATCAGAGAACACATGGGAAAATGTCACTATGGGGAACGAAAATTCATTCCCCAGATGCTCGGCAGCGTCTTTTCAGACTATTGTTTGCTGTCTTCCTGAGCAAGTCTTGCAGCTCATGTTGAGTAATCTTCCTGCACTGAACACGGGTCCAGCTCTGATCCCCTGGGAAGTAAACATGGGGAGAACAAACTGCCAGTTCTATACCAGAGCAAGGTCTGTGTTTATGACACACAGAGACAGCCTTATGACCCATTGACAAGCCTGTCCCGGCTCTGATGCGACATGGTGACCTCTGCTCTAAGACAGATACTGCAGTGCAGACAGCAGGGAAGGGAGAGAGACCACTTAGAAACTCCAGGGAGCCACAGAAGCTCTCACAACACAACTCTCGGACCATTTGTCACTGTCTTTCCCCTTTGCCTCTCAAAAAATCCTTTCATCCAGCAAAGCTTCTAGAAAGTTCTTTATTGTTACATTCTACATACTATACTCTAGATTTTGCCCCTTAATAGTCTGCTTTTTCATTATAGCTATCTTTCCTTTCTTGTGTACATAGAAGTCGCCGTGCATTTCTCTTGAATGTTTCATGATGCCGTGCACACACTGAGTAGCCAATAAGTGCTTACTAAATTGACTATCATCAGCTCTCACACACTAACGCACATAGAGACTGCCATCGAGAAAGACCATAGCCAACAAAGGAGCAACATCCAGTAATTTCCAAATGGTTTTGGCATTGTCAGAGGGGAGGTACCACAAAGTGTTGGCCATCCTCCTCATAAGTGAAAGGTCAGGACTTGGTGCATAAGCCTAATTACTTGGGCAGACTCTGCATGCCCTTTGACCCCTTGGTGACCTGAGTGATTATAGATACAATGGAGTGTGGGAATAAAAGGAGAGAAGACAGCCATGGATTGTCACTTCTAAAGAATTACAGTGGATTGCATTGGAGTAGAGTAGATTTTTGCCATTCAGTGCTCTGCCCTCATGGTCTGAAACCGACTGTAGGTTAATGAGGGTGTCATAAGTCTAAGTACTCAATAGTTAGAAGAAACAGAATATTATCCATTCGGATTTGCAAGTGAAAGGAAAAATCTAAAACAATCAAGATCTGTTTTTCAAGGGAAAATGCCTATCCTGGTAAGAAGTCAGTTGACTTTAGTTGTCCAGTGGAAGTACATAACAATGGTTACAAACACAGACAGGGTCTGTGAGCTTAGAATGACAACTGCATGCTTTGTAGGAAAAGCCAGATGTTGTTGGGAGGAGTGGTCCCCTTACTTTCTGACTGCTCTTCCCAGGTGGACCTGCGCTTCCTAACCGTGCTGACAGCCATTGCAACACAGGGAGCGATTTCCAGGGAGACCCAGCGAGGCTACTACGTCAAATCGTATAAGCTGGAGGTCAGCACCAATGGTGAGGATTGGATGGTCTACCGGCATGGCAAAAACCACAAGGTAGGTTGACTTCCCCAAGAGTGGGTCTCTGAGGTGCTTCTGGTTGACCCCAAGAGGGGGAAGAGCTGTTGTTTAGTGAGGCTCATAGAACTGATAGAGGCAAAGGATGCACTGGCCCTGAAATTTTCCTTTTTTATGTTAAAGTGTTTGGAAAACTCCATTTCTCCAACAGCCTGACTGCTGTTGCATTTTGCACAGCAGAGAGGAGGGAGGGGGGGGGGTTATGGCATTTTATCTAACTGCAAATGAAGGAGAAAATGCCTCCCCAGTTCATGCCTCCCCACACCACACAGGACTTGGTGAGCATTTATGGCCTGAGTCTCTTGCACATGCTGGGTTAACAATCACAAAACTGCATGAGCACCCATGTGGACTGAGATATCTAAAGTGGCATTTTTGTCCATCTGGAAAAACAAACAGCAGTTCAGGAGCTACTAAGGTCTGGGAATGAAAGGACACAAAACCCTAAGAGGGAGTCACAATGTCCCTGAGAAGAACCAGGACAATAAATAATGAGAAATCCCATTTGTCGGGGTTAGGATCTGAACTGACGATCATGATTAGTGGGGAAGCATTGAACCCTCTCCACCGGTGCCTTTAGTGTCTGTAGCTCCCAGGCATGTGGTCCATGTGGCCAATATGAGGCTTTTGTTGTACACAGGGATGAGTGTCTGGCACTCGGCACTCTTAAAACACGTGCCGTTCTGTTTCGGCAGCTGGCAATGAGCTCCATTTGGCATATGGAGGGCTAAGTGGAAATGCTCTGTATTCACCTGAGTGGGAACAGGAGCCTTTGTAATGGAAGCAAGCTCAAGGTGATCCCTGCAGACTGGTTGACTCTCAGATTAGGCAGGTGAAGGAGACATACTGGGGACTCCAAGAGGCTGCTAACCCTCCCATGGAAGGGAATCCAGAGTGATGGAAACATAAGTCTGTTTCTTCTCCTTTGCTGCAGTCCCACCAGCTTCTGGTCTGCAAAGATATAAATTATCAAAATAAGGCATCTGTGACCAAAGAGCATTTCCAAAAGGGCGTCTCTTTGGCTCCTGCCTCTGTCCCAAGGCATCATGCTCTCCCACTTACATATACAACTGGAATCCTTGGACCCAGAAAATTCTGCCCAATGAGTTAGCAATCTCACATAGGCAATGTGAGTTTTTAAAGGAGTAGTTTTTGTTGTTGTTGTTTTTTTTTAATCAAAAATCACCATAGTAACATGGCACCATTCATATGACAGTATGGTTTCTAGATATTACCAGCTATCTCTCTTACGTACAAACACACATTGCTTCATATGACCAGTAAAGAAAGTGAAATATTTAGCACTGGAAAGACACCCTCACCTTTACCTGTGACCTAGGTCTGCTGTCCCATTGCTGTAGCTTGGAGAGGCCGGACAGAGTCAGAAACGATGGAGACTGAATCAGCACTGGAGGCCAGAGGAACTCCCAGAGCCGAGTCCTCATGTCACCCCATTCCTTTTCTGCACAATTTTTCTCTCTCCACCCACATCTTCAGTAAGAAAGTGCTAAAACCTGGGAACTCAGCTAGCAGGTGAGGGCCAGCCGCCAGATAGGAGTGGGTCCTAGGGAGAGGCACGAGGCTCCCTGAAGGTCTCCTTGTCCAGGTTCAATGACTAAGCAGTGCTGGCCAGAGGGATGCTGTAGCATAAGCTGATTTTAAAAGCACACAGATGGACTGGGATGCTATTTAAAACACCATTTGTAGGAAATCTGCTTTTGGAAATACCTTAGCACTGCACATTTTGATAGGACACCATCCTCCTGGCTTTATCCCGGCTATTCAATTTTGCAGGCAAGATATTCCTGAGCCTGAATTGAGCTTTCTAGTTCTTCAGGCTCATCCTTTTCAATGTTTCCAGATTGAATACATTCTCACTGTCTTCTGCATCCTCTTCCCACCTTTGGCAAGATCTCTCCCCAATGGCTAACTCGAGGGTCTTGTTTTTGGTTTTGCGTTAGAGGATCAGTTTTGCACACATAAAAGGAGATAGGACAGGGGAAATTTTTCCATTAGAAATATATTCTCCTGGTACGTAAAATGAGGACGGAAAATGGAAAGACTGCCAATTAGGCTTTGCCTCAGTCCTCAGTTCCCTTGCCCCATTGTGCATGTGGTCGGAGGCCAAGAGTCCTTGCCCTTCTCCTCCTCCTGGGCAAGGATGCTCCCTGCAGCCTCTTCATTAACAGGTCTTCCCCAGATAGCTGTGTTTAATGTGCAGTTCCCCGAGATACTGGGGTTGAAATAGTTGAGTGAACCATGCCAAATAGATTTGTCAAGTCTGCCGCAGTTTGATTTGATGCCCTGACAGGGAGGCAGGACTTGAGAGCAATGAGGCTGGAGGGAGGAGCTCATCCACTGCTGGTACTACCGCCCAGTTTTTCTTTGTGGTTTCTGGATGCTGGGCATGGTGCCAAGCTCTCTGGTGTTCTGTGGTGGGCTTGAAAGTGAAATTCAGACAGCAGGACTTAAGGAAAAACAGCAGAACAGAGAGGAGGCTGCAGTGCTTTGGGCTGGAAAACACCTTCCTTGCCGGTGCATTGGAAGTGGAAAGGGTGTTGTGACACTTGCAGGCACAAATTTGGAAACTCAGTTTCAATTCCCTGACTATTGTCAACACCAATGCAACATATCAAAGACCAGGGAATTGGAGAAAGCAGAGAAAAACAAGATTAATGAGCATTCAAGGTGGTGGGGGATGGCTGTGCTATGTCGCTGCGATTTTCACCCTGCCTGGGCAAGGCAAGGGCTAAGCCTGCCAGGCTAAGGCTTTCTTCTTCCTGCCAGGAGGTGAAGAGGACTAAAGAACTCCTTTCCAGCCTCCCCAGTCAGTGAGCAGCTCCTTCACAGTCTCTTTATGTTCAACAGGTATTCATGAGGTTCCCCGTGAAAAGCCTGATCCAAGTTGCTGGTGGTTCATGAGTTATTTTCCTGGCACAATGCAGCCTGCTTCCACAGAACACATGCACAACACATCCCCCAGTCCTCGCCTGGTCCCACATGCCATCAATATAGAACCCATGATTTTCATATAGGCAGGCCCTCCTTATGCATATTTATGGTGCAACCACAAAGCAGAAAGCTCCTCCACCCTGTTACAGCCCATAACCAACCCATGTGCTCCCTTGGATTATACAAATTACTTCACAAGCGTCCCTTCAGAAACCACAGTAGAAACTACTGCCTTTGCTTTTCCCAGCTGTGGGAGTAGCATCCCAGATACAAGCATAGTGTTGTCCATACAATGGTAAGAAATTTCATGTGTACGTTTTCAAGTGTGTACAATTACAGGTGTGATCACACACATGCACTCCAAGAAAGATGCACGGAGAACAATGGGAACAGCTCAAAGGCACTAGTCTTCAGTCACAGTCCTTCCTTTCCCTGAGATTCTGAAGCCATAAATCTGTGTTAATGCAACCGTCTATGCCTGAGGAATGGAGCCATGACTGTTCTTGGGACAGTGGGACAAAGACCATCGCCACCTTTAGTTTCCCTTTATTTTGCCAGTGTTGGCAGCTCTCTTATTGGTATAGTTTTGGCTACCTTCCCTTTATGTATGGTGTTGCTAGGCAGTTCTTTTCTATTTAGGAAAAAAAAAGCAACACAAAAGAGATGTTCTAAACTCCAATGGCCAGGTTGAGGATAGAAAAGATAAGGTAGAATAAGCCTTGGGCCCGTGGCTTTGCAGAATTACCTAGTAAGTGGCACAGATATGCTGAGTTTACATTAACGAAAGGACAAATGCTACAAGCCCACAAGCCCTCAGGCACTGACTTAGTTGCTTCAGAACTTCATGATGCTTCACAGGTGGACTTGTGGCTCTCAGAGTCTAAGCAATTTGCCCCAGGGACAGGAGGATCTTGGAGTCCCCAGGAAAGGCAATCCTGGTCACCAGGTTTCAGCGCCTAAGCAGATGCTCTCACAGTCTGTCTGAGGTGTTGTTCTTTGCCTTCCACCCACGGGGAAACTGGCTTCCTGGCAGCTAGGAGCCCAAGAGGTGCACACAGCCTGGAGTCTCTTTTACTAAGAGGGTCTAAAAGTGGTCAGCAAAGTTCAAGACTCAAGGCTAAGCACTGTGTGGGGAGTTTGGGCTCCATCACTGGATCCTGAAGACAGAGTTGAAAGAAGTTGCTGTTTATTTGGTTAGGCCACTTCCCTTCAAAACAAGTGCCCCTGCTTTTAAACTCCTCTGTCCTGTATTTATTTTCTTAATTAAAACAAATCATTCTGTAAGTCAGAGACTTGGAAGGAAAGAGAGTGTTAGAAGGCCACACCCCAGGCCCCTGGTGGGCAATGTGTTGGAAGCACGGGGCATCTGTTGTAGATCTCCTGAGCCAGTGGACTGTGTAACCTGGGATATTCCCTTCCCAGCTCTGTCTTGGTGTCCCCAGCCACCCCAATCCAGAGGCACTGGTCCTGCAACTGCTGCCAGCCGAGCACCTGGCCATCTGCAGAGGGAAGTTGCTCCACGGATGTAATTAACGGGTCAGAACACAGAGCTCTCCTTGAGCAGAGAAGCAAATTTAAAAAGTAACAGGTTCCCATGGGATATATATCCACCTCTTTTAAAACACAGACCCGGAAAGGACTGAGAGAAGTCATCCAGGCCTTGCACTTGCGCTGTCTCAGATAAACGCCCCCTCAGAGCTCCATTCTTCATTAGGGGTGCAATTATTCCTCCAATTAAGAATTTTGAAGATTGTTTTAAGACCTCTTCATGAATACTTGTCCTTATTCCTTTTGAGGTTTGTCATTTTGTTGTTGTTGTATGAAGATGAGAAAGTGACTCAAACCTCAAGCTAGCAGAGGGCATCAGCCTCCAGAAGCTGTGGCTATGATTCTATGATCAAAACATGGTTATGTGTGCTCTGAAGAGGGCAGGTGCCCTTTCCAAGTTCAGGTCCCCCAGTTTTGTGCTTCCTGCTCCATTATGACTGAGGGGAGTGCAGTGTGCTGGGTAATTCAGTTTGTCCTTT